AAAGGATTTCAGGCGGCCGCACTGTCAATGGTGCTGGGGAGTCGTTACTCGCTCTTGTCGGGGACTGCGACGTTCAAACTCGCTATCGCCATACAAGGCTGTGCAATGAGTAATAACATGAGTACTAACTAGAAGGTATGAGAGAGAGATGAGTAATTTGGCAGTACTTCCACCTAAATTACTAACCCCCTCCTCAGGGCAGATCAAGACATACAGGCTCTATATCAAAGCGGAGAATGGGTTTGGTTGCTAAACCATTCACATTTAGCAATCTGTTCCAGGGATCATTTATCTTGGTAGCCCCATACAGCTGAGTGTTCACTGGTGCCTCTATCCCTCGTCGGGAAGAAGACCTGCAAATTCCTTTCGAGGCGAAACTTGTCTTGGGTGATGGTACTGTACAGTACATCCCCCATCAGTAGGCAATGTATCTTGCTGCTCGGCGAAAGTTCGGAGTTTGACATGCCTTGATTGTGCTTGTTAATGCGGTTTGAGACCCTGAGTAAGTCGCTGCAGGGATTTTTACTTTGCTGATACAGCATTTTAGCCTGGCGGAAGTTGCAGCTGCGCCACATTGTTATGGATTCGATTCAGTGGGAAATATATAAAAGGGCACCTACGAATTTGGAGCGTCTAAAACTAACCGTAGGAACTTTCATCAACAATATTCTTGGAATATGGTGAAGATGTTGAAAGGCGGAAGAGTAGATCCGGCCACACATAGTCTTTGTGATTGAACGCTGGGGGCAATCAAACAAACTGCTAATTCAAAGTCCACTTCTCGTTATTAGCACCTTACTTCTTTCCATGAGGTCGGAAGTATTTCATTGGCCTCTTGCAGTCGCTTCTTTCTCGTTCTTTACATTGATGGAGGTTGACAAGTTCGCAAGGAAATGTACCAAGCCAACCATGAGAAGCTCATTGACTATATGCTAGCAATCCAAGGAATAATAGTATTTCCATCCACGGAATTTCCCCATGAGACCCAGATTCCCTCGAACTAGTGCCGTCCATCTTTGGCTGAATCTGGCAAATCCGTGGCCTCGAATTCCTAGGATACACAAAGTCACCTACCAGCCAATGTCCGTCCATGACTCATTCATTGATCCTCGGGGTGGTCCAAAGGCCTTGCTCCCCCGAATCTAGCTGACCAAAGTAGGTTACCAATTGCATCCAAAAAGAGATCGATCTGGGGTTGAACAAGAAGTTCAACGTATAACGGTTTCAACCCTTATATATTCAGCTCGAGCCAAGGCTCTCTAGAACTACTAAAGGAAGCGAACCCGCGGGCATCTCGGAGCATTCTGGGATCGTGAGGCCCTTGGTCTTTCCAGGGACGAAAAATAAAGGGTATTACTTGTGGGAAATTTCGGTACTTCGGAGTCGCCGGACGGCGGGACGTCCAGTGGAATGGGTCAAATTTTCAGCGAAAAACACAACATTGAAACCCATGGCGGGGTTCAGAGCTTCAGAGCTGACACTTTTGCGCCTTGCTCAACTTAGTGGTTTTCGAGCCACCCTTCAACCCCTCTTCTGCCTCCGTGGACCGCTGTGGGGTTCGATGTTTCTCGGATCCTCACGCTCTCAACTACTAGTCATCCTCACCTCCTCATCAAGTCCCTTATTCCAACAACGGTGAATTCCCGCCTCTAATCCCGCCTCTATGCCTGTATTGAGCGGGCGAGGTGTGCGAGGGTGTCTGGGAGTGGGGTGTTGCCGGTAAGGTGAAGATAGGAGGACTTGACAGGCATTGTAAAAGTCCCTGTCAAAATCCGTCCTTCGTGTGATTGCAGTTATGACGTCATGGGGTTCTTGTCAGCGTGCATGAGCTAGTTAGTTCGCTTCTGTTGCAGGGGCGAAATGCATCTCTGGCACACGTTAATAATCCGCCGACATTCCGGCGGAGTTGACTAGCAGACGAGAAACGAGGCTTTCGGTGGATTTGTTCTTTTAGTGCCGTTTGGTGGCGGGGATGTGCGAATTATCACCTGTCATTGAGCAACTATGACGGATACCTCGGGCTCTCCTCAACCCGAAGGTTCTCGACCCGCGCTGAGCCGGCCAACATAGAAAATTCTCCCGTATTCTCTTCTGTTGGTCAGCTACACTAATCAAAACTTTTCCTTCTTCAGGACGGTAGGCATCAATTAGAAATGATGGTTGGTGTTGTGCGTCCAGTGTGTTCCTTGCTCTACGGACTACTTAGATATCGAGGCCCCCAGAACAACTTTCTCGAACCAGATGATGATTTCGAAACCTAAAATTTAAAACCCATTCTACATCACCCTTGCGTTTAGCGCCACTTATTAAGACAGAGCCATTTCAGGTACATTTCCTCTTATTTTCCCAATGAACCCCGCCTTCCTTGTTCAGATGCTGACTGATATTCCGGCGAAACAAGAAAATCGGAGGCGGTGCCGTTGTCTTGCCCCCAAATTTCTGTTTTTCATTCCATTCTCTCTCTTTACCCGCTAGACCTTAGACTGGAATTATAGAAGTTCAGCATGACGGGATCGAGTCAGGCTGTTCCAATTGTCGAACAAGGAGCAGGGAAACAGAATGAAAGGCATCAAAGGAGTTTATCCCTCAACGTTGCTATCAAAACGGCACTTACGAGGCTAAAGGACACAACAAGGCCAAACTCTGATAACGAGTCCCCTTCGTCTCCTCGAAAAAGCCTCGCAAGCTTTTTCCTCGATAGAGATGTCGTATCCTCCAGTGAAGATTTACCTAGTGATGACAGTGATTTCATGAGCAAGAAACAGCAAAATCGCCATGAACGGAAACTGAAGAGAGAATCCAGGGCTAGAATTAGCGGGGAGATAAGCGAGCGATCGGAATCGCTCAAGAGGGAGCGCGATGCGCAGGCGGCGCGAGAAGAAACCGATGAAATGAAAGCCCGCTATGGAGATTTGCCGTTGATGCAGTCGAAACAGCGTCCACGGCAAAATCTGATCAAGTTTGACAATATCACGCCTCACTCGATCGGTCAGGAGGTCACGTTCCGTGCTCGGGTGCATCATATCCGTAACATGTCTTCGAAACTGGTTTTCGTCATTTTCAGACAGCAAGTCACCACGATGCAAGGCGTGCTGGCAGAAAAACCTGGGATGATATCAACTCTCATGGTCCAATGGGTCGAGCGGATCCGAGTGGGGTCGATTGTCAAGGTTAGAGGGGTGCTCTCCAGCTCTAAGGTCCCTGTTACGGGATGTACGATCCATGACGTGGAGCTCGATATCCAAGAGCTTCATGTAGTTGTTCATAGGGAGGATCCCATCCCGTTCAGTGTTTACGAAGCAGAGCTGTTGAACAAAGATGCAAAGAATACTGATGGACGGCGCAACCACGTCCTGGATCGGACCCGCCTTTCTAATCGTATCCTAGACCTGCGAACCGACACCTCCCAATCCATATTCAGAATCCAGAGTGCAATCAGCAATTTGTTCCGTGCTTCGTTGGACTCTCAGGGATTCATTGAGATTCATACACCGAAATTACAGAGCTCAGCCACCGAGTCTGGTGCTAGCGTTTTCGAGGTCAAATATTTTACAAGGGAAGCCTTCCTAGCTCAAAGTCCACAACTTGCCAAGCAGATGGCGATTGCAGCTGATTTTGAGCGTGTATACGAGATCGGCGCTGTATTTCGCGCTGAGAACTCAAATACGCATCGTCATCTGACGGAATATACGGGCTTGGATATCGAGATGGCGATAGAGGAACATTACCACGAAGCGCTGGAGACTATCGATTCTGTCCTCAAGGAGATCTTCAAAGGGATTTATGGGCGCTATCGAAGAGAGGTAGACATCATCAAAAACCAATTCCCGCATGAAGACCTGGTATGGCTAGACGAGACTCCAATCATACCGTTCGCGGAGGGAATAAAACTTCTAAATGACAGCGGGTGGCGCCAAGATGGTGAAGAGCTGTCAGTAAACGAAGATTTGGGGACGCGCGATGAAATCCGATTGGGAGAATTGATAAAGGAAAAGTACCACACAGATTTATTACCATACTGGGATAAATTCCCCAAGTCCGCCAGGGCCCATTTTATGCCATGGAAGATCCTGAGAACCCCGGATTTCACCAATTCTTTCGACATATTTGTCAGAGGCCAAGAGATTGTTTCCGGGGGCCAGCGCATCCATGATGAAAAGATTCTAGAACAGCGAATGAAGGAAGCCGGTATCAACCCATTAGCAATGGAAGAGTACTTGGAAGGCTTCCGTTGGGGCGCCCCGCCTCACGCTGGTGCGGGCATCGGCCTGGAAAGATTGCTCATGCTAATATTGAAACTTGGAAACATCCGTCTAGCCTCCCTGTTCCACAGAGACCCAAAGAGCTTTCAAGATATGCCAGACACGTCACGAATCATCCCTTATCCTGAATCTTCCACGCTTGAACCTCCGTGGGAGAAGAAAGGCAATCAGAAACATACCGGAATCGACAAGAATCGCAACTTCCAACCCTTGGATGAACTCATCGCCAACTATGGTGACGCAACATCAACCTCGTGGCCCGACGAGAAATATAAGATCTGGCGGGACTATACATCCGGTGCAGCAATAGCATACGTCCCCAGCACTCACGGCTTCGCAATAATTCCTGGCAATCCATTATGTGATCCGAGCCAGTACGCCAAAGTAAGCATCCGCTTTCTCCGCTGGCTCAAAGCAGAAACGCACTTGAAACCCATCTGGATCCTCTGTTCTCGGCCAGTCGAAGAAATTCTAGGTGAGAAGTTGGGCTGGCGAACACTTTCTTGCGTCGGAGAAGCCCGTATCGATCCATCGCGCAACCAAGCTGCGGCGGACGCCGACATTTCCAAAAAGATTCGCCAGGCAGAACGTGAGGGCGTGAAGGTCCACCATATCCCCAGCGACCGACCGCTTCCAGAAGATATCACTTCGAGAATCGACGCGCGGATCAAAGAATGGCGGGAAAACCGCAAAGGCCCTCAGATATATCTGTCAGGTATCAAGCCTTGGCGAAGCCCGCGCAATTACCAGTACTACTATGCCGCCGACAAAAATGGGACCATTTGTTCCTTCGTCGCGTTAGCCAGGCTGGGAGCGAACCACATGCAGATCAAATATAGTCTGGATTTCCCTGGCGCACCGTCGGGGTCTATCGAGTACCTCATCACTCATGCCATTCAAGCTACGGGCAGGTCCGGCGTCAAGTCACTGACGTTTGGCGCGGGAGCGGCTTCGAATCTAATACCGGGGCATAACATGTCTTCGGCCAAAGGAAAAGTGCTCCAGACCACGTATGATACCCTCGTCAAACAGTTCGGGCTGAATCGCAAGACAGAGTTCAGAGCTAAGTTGGGCGCTTTTGAGGAGCCCCTTTTCATTGCTTACCCACGCCATGGAATGGGTTCCAAGGGCATAAGGGCTATTTTGAATTTCTTTGAAGATTGATATATAATTTTTTTTGTCTTGACGTTCACGGCCTATATATCTATTATGTGTGTTGTGTTGTTTTGATATTACCAATATATAAATCATAATATCTCATCCCTTTCTTTTCTTCCTTTCTTTATTCTTTTATACTTATTTTTCATGATTTTTTTATGTTTCCCCTCTTTTTTATGTCCCTCCTAGCTCTTAAAAGATAATGCCATGAAACTTTTGTTATATTCAACACACAGGTTATGAGAGATTGCGGTGGTATATCGATAGTACCGTAACAGGCCGGTTTTCTATGTATATTGTTGATATCTGGCTTCATTGGTTAATTTTCTTAACGTAGAACAATGCATCTAAGTATATAAGGGGATCGAAGGCAAGTCACTAGTGAAACAGTCACGATCTGATTCAAGTTCCATATCAAACCCTCAAACAAGCAAGTACTTTTTAAAGCGAAATGGCTTATCAATACGGAGCAGCGTTGGCGCTATCAGAACCAAGCAAGCCTGGAGGATGCATCTGTAGACTTTGAAGCGCGTTTCATCTAGATGCATAATGACGAACATGCACAGATAGGCGCGGCGCGGTAAATAAAAGTGACATAAAAGTGCGAATAGCACAGAACTTGTGAAAACATCTAAGAGGGATCCATAAAAATGGGCGCAGTCGTTATTCCTCCACAGATTCTCAACCTTGAACACGGAATGTCCTGCCGCTTGCAGTCTTTCTCTCCCGTTCCTCATTCTCCGGTCGGGCACGATTGAGAACTATAGTTTCATAGTTAGTTTCATGCGTCAGAACTTACATATATATGTCCAAAACCGTAGATACATACCCTGTAGGAAGTCCGCTGTTCGTCTCCGCATTCTCGAGTGGATATATGCCTATTCCAAAGGTTAGCTGGGACAAAGGATGGACAGATTAAGTCATGCAAGTACCTTGGAAGCTTTGATATGATAGTGGAAATAGTCACGGAAGATCTGGATGTGGGAGATATTCTCTCCACGTCGTTGGGGTGTAAGATGGCGAGGGAAGAGAACTGCATTGGAGAGGACTGTCAGTGCCCAGTGTACTGGCGGCAATGGGGAAGCAAGGAGTAGCAAGAGTACCGAAAGTAATGTAACCGACATCGCCGTCTCCGGAAGCCTTAACCCCCGGAATGCCTTGAAGTTCGAGCGGGGGATCATGACGGAAAAGCACTTGTGGAGCATTTTGGATCGCCCGTCTTCTTGCATCGACGAATTCCTGAGAGTGCGTAAGCAACATATATTTTCTTCACTGGGGTATGATAGCAGGAGACGTGAAACATACTTGCAGAAACACTTTGCCGAATATCCTGTCGGTCTCATCTCTGAAAATGGTGCTGAAGATCACGGTCACCCGGTCGTGGCTCGCCTTGATGTATATTGCTTCCTGTTCCCGATAATGGATTGCCATAACCTCACCTCCTTCCGCCACACCCTGGGGCGCTGATTCAGAAGTGTATCTCGCCGCCTCCTCCTGCAGTTCGGCAAATTCATCGAATGCCTTTTCAAATGGCGCGGCCATCACATTCCGCCTCATGAGCGCAATACGATTAACCAAGTCTTCCCTACCCGCTGGTTCCGCGGGGAGATTCTCCAGATCAACTACAATTGAGAAATCATATCCAGGCTCTGGGGAGACAATGAATGGTCCATATTCCCGTTCGAGGACACTCTGTGCTCCGTGCTGCACTAGCTCGCGGAAACATTTGAGGGAGATGGAGATGAGGATTTTGGATTTAGCTTCGGGGGTGGAAATATGGAATGTGACACCGTCGAAATCAGAAACAATTTGGTCAATAGATACGGGAGGCGCTCTATGATCCAGGCATGTTAGCAAATGGTAATTATCGGGTGGGAAGGCTAGGACAAGCGGATAGGCGATGCTGTATGCTAGTCAGCGGGGTGGTTCGAGCTGGAACATACCCAGAGAATCGCTCCGTCAGGAGAGATTGGATAAGAACATTTTGGTAATCTAAGAGAAGCATGATGACAGGTTGGGGATCATGACAATCTGCGCAATCAACTAAAGTCGTTGGAGCGAACAGTGGTATATATATAGTCCCAGCCGCTGTGCCTGAAAAGAGTTGCCCACGCCGCAACGAGGAAATGAAAGCGCTGCCATGGTGGTCTGTGCTGGGCGCCGTAGCTTAGACGCTAGCCGTTTCGTGCGATAAAATAACCGTATCAATACCGAATGCTGCAAAAAAGTTGGAGCCGAAATTTTGTTGGAGCAGCCAGACGGAAAAATGGTCAAATCGTATCTGTGAGTAAGAGGATTTGCAATGTCACTATTTTATTTACGGATTATAGACCACTGATTGTACTTTTAGGAAATTCGAGCCTTCGAAGACTTTTGGCGTTATCACTGCTGCGTCGTCAAATGCGGTTTGGATACCCGACGAAGATGTCTCTGCCGAAACTCGACATACTGGTGCAGGACGAGCAGTTGTCGGAGCAGGAGAGGAGGTGATATGTTGGGATGTGAAAAAGGGTGAATTGCTCAGCAGATGGCGGGATTCGGATTGCAGCGCACAGGTTACGGCTATTTCACAAAGCAAAACGGATCAAGACATCTTCGCGGTTGGGTAAGACTTGAATCGCCTCTCCCAGGTATTATGAATGGGGTTCTGACAATATGAGGTAAAATAGATATGAGGATGGCTCAATAAGGTTATGGGATTCGAGACTAGCGACTGTTATGATATCCTTCAATGGCCATAAAACCGCAATTACCCAATTGGCATTTGACGGTGCAGGAGTGCGTTTGGCCAGTGGTTCCAAAGACACCGATATTATAGTGTGGGATTTGATCGCAGAGGTTGGGATTGTCAAACTACGTGGGCACACGGACCAAATCACGTCTGTCAACTTTTTGGACGGATCAAGCATCAGTGACACTGAAGTCCAAAGTAGCAATTCCCAGGACCGCTTCCTCTTGAGTACCGGGAAAGACTCCTTAATCAAAATCTGGGACCTTTCGTCTCAGCACTGCATCGAAACCCATGTAGCGCAAAGCAATGGGGAATGTTGGTCACTTGGGCTTTCACCCGATCAGAGTGGGTGTATTACTGGAGGGAACGATGGCGAACTTCGAGTGTGGTCCATCGATGCAACTGTGATGAGTGAAGTAGCAAAAGAAACTGGAGCCGCAGACGGCCGCAAAATCCTTCTGGATAGGGGCAATATGTATCGACAGGGCAAGGACCGAACAATGGGCATCCACTTCCATCCGAGGTTGGATTACTTCGCGGTTCATGGAGCTGAAAAGTCAATCGAGATCTGGAGAATACGGACAGAGGCTGAGGTCCAAAAGAGTCTGGCAAGGAAACGGAAACGGAGACGAGAAAAAGCTGGAGAGCAAGGCGCTGAACACGAGTTGGAAAACGGCGCGGATGCTGAAAACCCAAACTCTATCTCTGCAGCCCCAATATCCGAAGTTTTCGTGTCGTATACTATCGTCAGGATACAAGGGAAAATTCGTTCAGCGGATTGGATGGGTGGCAAAGGCCTCAGGCTGCTCGCTGCAACAAGTAACAACCAACTTGAAGTGTATGGTGTAGTTGCTGTGGAGAGGCAGAAATCGAAAAGCAGCGAGGATTCAGAATATAACCGCATATTATCGATTGATATGCCGGGTCACCGCACGGATGTTCGATCGCTTGCCCTGAGCTCTGACGATAGGATGCTTTCTTCCGCCTCGAATGGCACTTTGAAGATCTGGAATGTGCGAACTCAAACATGCTTACGGACTCTGGAATGTGGTTACTCATTGTGCTCCGCGTTCCTACCTGGTGACAAAATCGTGGTACTGGGGAATAAGAACGGAGAACTTGAAGTATTCGACATTGCCTCAGCTACATTATTGGATACAATACAAGCGCACGAGGGCCCAGTATGGGCGCTTCATGTTCACCCTGATGGAAAATCTATGGTTACTGGAAGTGCTGATAAAACTGCTAAATTCTGGGAGTTTAAGGTCGTGCAAGAGGCGATTCTGGGAACGAAGCGGACGACTCCTCGCCTTAAACTGGTTCACACGAGGACTCTTAAGGTGAACGATGATATCCTAAGTATTCGCTTCTCTCCTGATGCGCGACTCATTGCTGTAGCGCTATTGGATAACACCGTGAAAGTTTTCTTCGTTGACACTCTGAAGCTCTTCTTGATCCTATATGGCCACAAGCTTCCTGTCCTTAACATGGATATATCTTACGACAGCAAATTAATCGTCACTTGCTCTGCGGATAAGAATGTACGGCTATGGGGCCTGGACTTTGGTGACTGTCACAAGGCTTTCTTCGCACATCAAGACAGCATCATGGCAGTAGCCTTCATACCGAATAACAACGAGGGCAATGGCCACCACTTCTTCAGCGCCAGCAAGGACCGGGTGATAAAGTATTGGGACGGTGATAAATTCGAGCAAATTCAAAAGCTTGAAGGGCACCATGGCGAGATATGGTCTCTTGCCGTCAGCCATTCTGGAGAATTCATCGTTAGTGCAAGCCACGATAAAAGTATCCGAGTGTGGCAACAAACTGATGAGCAGATTTTCTTGGAAGAAGAACGGGAAAGGGAATTGGAAGAGCTCTACGACAGCACGTTAGCGACCTCACTGGATAAAGAAGATGAGGACGCAGAAGGGCAGGAAAAAGCAGAGGCAGCGGCTGCTAGCAAACAAACAATTACAACTCTCATGGCTGGTGAGAAGATTGTAGAGGCTCTCGATTTAGGAATCGAAGACCTTGCGCTTATGCGAGAGTGGACGGAGTTGAAATCAACCAATCCCAAAACTGCACCACCATCGCGCAATCCCGTCTATCTAGCCCTTGGCAACATATCCGCAGAACGCCATGTCCTTCAAGTCATACAGAAAATTCCCGCAGCAGCACTCCAAGATGCCCTCCTCGTTCTTCCATTTTCAAAACTGCCGGCCTTATTCACATTTCTGAATATCTGGGCAAAGAATGCATGGGAAATCCCGCTGACCTGTCGTGTCTTATTCTTCATGCTCAGAACGCATCACCGCCAAATTGTGGCGAGCAAAATGATGAGACCAATGCTTGATGGTATTCGGGGCAACCTGCGGAATGTCCTTGCCAGGCAGAAAGATGAAATGGGATTTAATATTGCAGCCCTTAAGTTCATAGGCAACCAAGTCCGGGAACGTGGCCGTTTAAACTACATTGATGAGAATTTGTGGGAGAAGGAAGAGCAACAGGTAAAAGGCAGTAAGAAGCGGTATTTTGTGAATGTTTCATAAAGGGTATGGTCTATGAAGAGTTGATTTTGTGCAATACCTTTTTTTTGACTTTCGATGTTTTGTCCAACGGCTACATATCTTGGAGTTGAAAGGGGCTTGTCTCTCTAGGAGTATAAGCAGAAATGGTTTCTTCGGGGAATTTTGATGGAATAGATTTCAATTAATGCATTTTCTTGTAGAGAATATGTTTATATCATTACTACGACACTCCTGCTCATTCTAAATGAACTAAATAGTGGCTCTCCTGTACAATACGGGCTGAGTTCAATCTCCAACGATCAATCCAACCCGATAGAAATCACTACTAGCATAGCACGCAGACTCAGTTATGAATGCAACCATTCAGTATTATCCCATATAAATACGAGGAATTTATCCAAACTCTTATCAGCAAATATCTCGATTCTACTCACTCAGCAAGACATGTCCGTTGGAATGGGAAGGGGGTCTGGATTCTAAATTGCAAAATGTATCAGCCATCTGAGTCCGCAAATCAAAAGCGTGAACAGGGTTATAAAATTGCAGATAAAATTGTTTCACAACAGTACTGCGGAATTCCAGCTCCTGGTTCCTTCTCTGAAGAAAGAAGAGCAAAGAATAGCCCACGGCACTGTGCGATAACATGTTTTTATTGCTTCTCCTTTTCTCAGTAGAACCATTCTAAGCACCGACGACATTTAAAAACCGTCCCGCACAGAGCTCGGGTGCCATCCCACAGCAGAGAATCGAAAATTTAAAACCTCCGCCTGCCTTCTGATATCAAGAGACATATGACGATGAAAATCGAAAACGGAGAGGTGGAGGAGGAAAATCTCAATCCTTTGCTGGGAATGTAATGCAACTGTCGCACCATGAGGTTTAATAGTGACGGCATGCCATACCTCTTCCGGCTCTTCCTAAAATATATTTGGTTCTTGATTGTATCTCATCATGTAAAAGTTGGTTGGTGGGTTGGGAAATACAGGCTCTCAAGGCCAGGGTAAATTTTGCAGACAAGGGACAGCATGAATTGTGTTACTCACATATTAGTTGATAGTTGCCGATAGAAGCGAGTTCCTGTTTTATTTTTTATTTTTTATTTTTTATCTATCTTTCGAGAAGAAACTGTGCTGCCTGTGTGGAAAAATCTTTCAACAAAACCACCAAAAACCAACAAACAAAAAAGAAAAAAAAAATGCGGGCTACGTTTTCATCGAAGATCACGTGATGATACGCCTGGGTGAGGTAGCGTGCAGGATACGTTTCAAGTTACAGAGGGGAAAGAGGAGAGAGAGAGAGAGATTGTATTTAATATTCTTGTAGAGAAAAAGTAGTCATATACAGCCTGACAGAATCCAACAATCAAAAGAAGCCCCATGCCGAGACGCCACGCCCAACCCGCAGAACAAAATTTGTTTCAAAATTAGATTCATAATTCACAAATCATTACTGGCAGCTTATGGCAGACTCAGCCATTACGACGATTGCTTCATCGTCCCACATGCAGAACAAGTCCACCATCGTGTTTCCATGAAAGCGCCACAGGAATGACAAACCCATCCCAGGGGCTTCTCCGGAATTTTCTTCTCCAGTGAAAGAAGTGCCTGGATGGCTTTGTTTCGTGGTTTTCGGCCTATTCCACTAGTGGAAGACTGGGGCTCAGTACGAGCACGTTTCACAGATTTATCAGGCGTTGTTAGATGTTTGGCTTGTGGTGGTCGCTCTAGCGTGCAAGCGTCACAGCAGAGAAACGATGGTGGATTCACAAGTGTGCATACTGGGCAAACCCAACTCTCAGAGTCAGGAATATTGTCTTCCGTCATGTCGATAAAGGGTTGGCTAGATGGCTTTTCTCGTCGAGATGAGTCCGTGCTAGGTTTGGTATCCTTGGGGATGGGCGGGGGAAACAAGGATGAGCGTGATCCAGGGGAATTGTTTCCGCTCGGAGGAACATATGAGTGCCCATGTTCCTCTTTTTCTTCCTCTTGAATCAGTTCAATGTACGCTTGTATAATAGCCTGTTCATTCGCATCTTCTTCCTCTGCCTTGGTTTTGAAGCCATTTTTAGATGCCTCGTCCGCCAACTTTCTTCCTTCGACTGTTCCGCTGGCACATCCTTTGGTTACCGTTATTCGTCTTTGGGCGGCATCTGCAATCACTTGTCGGATATCTGTGCCTCGCAAAATAGGAGTACCTCCGAGTTTCCTCCCAGAACCCGCAGTGAGGGTCCGGCGTTTCTCCGCTTCAACACGGGCAATGCGACGAGCTTCATGCATGGGGATCCTTTGGCCACCAAGCCGTTTCCCTTCGGACAAGAAACCTTCACCGGTGTAGCCCTTCAGAGAGAGCTGCATATGCTCATCACGAAGTTGATTCCATAACGCATGGAACTCCTGGTTGTGGGGGCCATGAACAATATGACATAACCTGAATATGTTAAAAAACTTAATAGATACCATATGCAGGCATTAGTAACTTACTCATGTAGCATAGTATCAAGGACTTGGTCAAGGGGAAGAAATTGACTGTCGTCCGACGGGTACCTCAATCTGAGGCATATTTTCTCGCCGTGATTGATATTTATCCCGAGAAGGCTCCGCTCAGGGTAGAATTCAGCAAGAGTCCCAACCTTCCAGCCCCGTTGGCGCATTATTGGCTTGACGAGGGAAGCGATTTTTCGTAGGGTTGTCAATGCCTCGGCCTCACGCGGCTTGTGTTTGAGATGCTCGAACTCAGAAACCAACGGATCGAATTCCCGCATGGCGCAGTTTCACAGCAAAAAGAAATCTTGGTTACAACAAGTAGACCAAGGCAAAGGCTCTAAATGAGTATCTAACTTGAGAAAAGTTTGTCTATAATAAGGCAGCAGGGGAAGTTTAATAGATTCTTGAGAACACACACGTCTATCCATCCAAATGAGGCACAAGGTCAGTAGCTAGGATTTATAATCAACCGATGACAAATGGCTCCAAATATAGATAGCCATTTAGAAGAACGCACAAGGTTTCTGTTGACTCCCCGCAAGTTGAAATTCCCCTCCGCCTCACAGGGCTAACGGCTGCCTTGTCGAATTCGTGGATGAAGTATGGAATCTTTTCGAGTTTGATATCACGTGGAAAAGCCGAATGGATTACTAATTCGGAATAATGCTTTTCCTGAGCACTGACATAGAACGAATACATCATCAAGTTCTTCCAAGTTACCTAACTAGTTATCTTGGACAGGAAAGCACGCAAGTTATATTCGCAACTCATGCCCAACTCATTTCGAGAAATTACCACAGATTCTGAATTATAATGACAAGCGACGACGAGTTCTTTTTTGACTATGCAAGTGATACCCTTTACACGACATGTGGCCAACGCTAACGCTCTTTTGCCATCCGCAGCTTGCCTCCATCCCGAACAATGTTAAAAAATATTCGTCTCAGGTTGCAGACTCAGTAAATGAACATGTGGATCACCTCGCAGTAACTGTCCGAGATGTGTTGGCTCGCCAGTCATGGCTGCCATCCGTAGTTAAGCCGCTGGGAAAACCTGTGGCGAAATCACCGTCCTCATTCCCTCCTCGATCCACCCTCGATCTGATACAGGACTGGATATCAAGAAACCGTGCTTGGACAGCAGCTATTGTCGCATTTGTTGGAACTGGAGCTTTCCTGGTCTATGGAAACAAAAGGCTCAGCGGCAAGAAAAGGAAAGCGCGAAGAGCTGGCAATGGTGCGCGTAAGGAGATCGTGGGTATGTGTCCATTCTCGATAAGTTTACAACAATTTTTCTCAGGCAGCCAGTACTAATATTTGAATAGTTATTGCGGGCTC